AGCAGGAAAGAGAGACAAGCTTAAACACATGACATCTGAAAATGCTAGCATAAAGAAGGCAGGCTGCATTTTCTATCTGGCTCTTCTAACTCATAGTTAAGCTAGAAGTACAGAAAAAGAAAGACCCTTCTTACTGAAATGAACACCAAAAAACACTACTCTGTCTCCTTTTCTTTTTTTTTCATTTCTCTTTTCCTTTCCCTGATGGACTACTTGGGAGAAGAGGTGACATCACTTTTTTCCAGTCATTACACAGCACAAGGGGAACCAAAGTCTCAGAGGCAATGATGACCTGGAAATCAATACTGAACCCTTACCAAGCAATCTGTACAGAAAGAACAGCATTTTTCTATAGAAAACTGACGTATCTGCAGGAATAGTCTTTTGGTAATCAAGACCTTTATAACAGAGCTACTTTCACTATTCTGCATTGAAGTGAAAACAGAAAAAAAAAAAAAAGCCCATTTAAAAATCCATTCAGTCATAATAATAATAGAATGATAGAATGGTTTAAGTTGGAAGGGACCTTAAAGATCACCTAGTTCCAACACCCCTGCATGGGCAGGGACACCTCCCACTACACCAGGCTGTTGAAAACCCCATCTAGTCTGGCCTTGAACACTTACAGGGATGAGGCATTCACAACTTCCCTTGGCAAGCCATTCCACCGTCTCTCTACCCTCACAGGAAAGAATGTCTTCCTAATGTCTAACCTAAATCTGTCCTCTTACAAATACAAGACCATTACCCCTTGTTTTATCACTACATGCCCTTGTAAGAAGTCCTTCTCCAGCTTTCCTATAGGGTCCCTTCAGGTACTGGAAGGCTGCTGTGAAGTCACCCAGGAGCCTTCTCTTCTCCAGGCTGAACAAGCCCAACTGTCTCAGTCTGTGCTCCAGCCCTGTGATCATCTTCATGGGCTCCTCTGGACTCATTCCAAGAGCTCCATGTCCTTCCTGCACTGGGGTCTCCAGAATGGGACATAGTACTGCAGGTGGGGTCTCAACAGAGAGGAGTAGAGGGGGAGAATCACCTCTCTTGATCTGCTGGACACACTTCTTTTGATGCAGCCCAGGATATGGTTGGCTTTCTGGGCTGCAAGCACATATTGCCAGCTCATGTTGAGCTTGTCATCAACTAATATGCCCAAGTCCTTTTCTTCAGAACTGCTCTCAATTTGTCCTCTGCCCAACCTATATTTGTGTCTGGGATTGCCCCAACCCATGTTCAGGATTTTGCACTTGGCCTTACTAAACCTCATCAGATTACCACAGGCCTGCCCCTCAGACCTGTCAAGGTCCCTCTGGATGGCTCCCATCCCTCTAGCATGTCAACCTCACCACACAGCTCAGTGTCGTCGGCAAATGCTGAGAGTGCACTCAATGCCACTGTCCATGTCTCTGACAAAGAAAATAAACAGCACCAGTCCCAGTACTAACCCTTGAACAACTACACATTTCACTGGTCTCCATTTGGACCTAGTTGACCAGAACTCTTTGAATGTGACCAGCCAGCTAACTCCTTATCCAAGCGATCCATTCATCAAATCTGTATCTTTCCAATTTAGAGACAATGTCACGTGGGACAGTGTCAAACTGTAGGGGCTTGAGCAAGGATGAAGCCACTTTTCTTTTTACAGATTTTTTTTTCCTTCAGTAAGTCTTCCATCTTGGACTGATAACAAACGCTGGAATGTTTTTGTTACTGCCAGGAATCCAAGGTCACACCTTTACTCTGCTGACTCAGGCACTACCAGGAGATGTATAACCCCCCTGTAGGACGCTGAGTTAGACAGACAGCAAAATTGGCCAGAGATATTCCATTCCGTATTTCTATTTAAGCTCAGAGGATGGTCAGAGATCACAGAAGATCCTTCCTGCTTCTTCTTCCCTTCTCTTCTATCCATGGCTGGCATCTGGGGAGGACTCCCTCCATCCATCACTGTCGACCCCCAGGCTCGAGCTCTCCTGACCCTCATTACTCTGCTCTCTCCAGCAGCTCCGGGGTTCTTTGGGACTGTTCGCAGCTCAGGAGATGCTGTGGGAGTTGCCGGGGGTGGGGAGGAGGCAACAGGGGTTTGTACATTCCTGAATACATTTATATATAATTGTACATATTTTATTTTATTATTAGTGTTTGGTTAAAGCTGTGTAGTTTAGTTTTCAATCCAGCCAAGTCTCTCTCTTATTCTCTCTCTCTCCTTCCCTACCTGGGTAGGAGGGGGAGGGGATTGAGAGTGTTGTTATTGAACCTGAGTCAAACAGTGACAACAATTTATTGGCACGCAACGTGGGGCTGACTTTAAGCCCAGATGATAACTTTTCACTAATTGAAAGTGTTTAAAATTCCATCTCTGATGGGAGGAATCCCTCAGATAGCAATGGGCAACGGTTCTGCTGAATTTAATGACAGATTGAAAGCTGAACTGACACCTTCTGCAATGAATCTGCTGGACCTTTTTCAAAACATGCAATTTTACATGTGGCATGCAGCCAAGAGCATTCTCCTCTGTGTAGCTACTCTTGTGATTGTTTCATGGTTTATCAACAGAGCTGTAGCCATAATCAAAAATATAATTACCAGGGGTGATCACCCCAGGGTGATCCTAGGGGTTATGATACTGATCTTTATGGGGGCACTGTATGTGTACAGTTACAGTAAAACTCTTAAAGTGAACAGAACGGTCCATGTTGGTAATGCCAGTTGCAGGTTCAATTTTACCTCTCCATTTTCTTTCAAGCTGGAAATCCCAGCTCTTGATTTGAATAGCATTGTTGCAGTAGGGATACTTCTGCTCAATGTTTATAATGTATTGTGGATACGTAGGATGAGGTGTTCCACTCACTGCCACTCACCCGCAGGCAATGTTGCTGCCACTGTTGCTGCTGCCACCACCACTGCTGGTGCTATAAAAACAGCTGCCTCTACAAGTGCTGCTACAAAAACAGCTGCTTCTGCAAAGATTAAGTCCACTCCCATTTGAATCAAGCTAGTAAATCCTGTGGCCAGAAGCAAATAAAAGGTGAAACACTCCTCCCTGAGACATCCAGAGTTTCTTCAAGTAACGAAAGAGACTGAAATCGAGAAAACAGATGATTCTAAATCAGATGATGGAGCAGGTAGCTCACAAACAGATAAAAAATCAGACTACTCTCAAGCAGATAGAAGAGCAGGCCCGCCTCAATAAGATGACAATGATGGCTTTGTCCAGCCTTTCTCT